ATTGGATATGGCTTGGCATAAATTTACTTTCCTGGGGCATGCGCGACTGAATTTGGAATTTTTGGACTTCTTCTGCGAGTCGTTTTGACGGTACTATTCTCCGTCCTTTTGACTGCGACATGGTCTGGGAAAGGGGAGTCTCGATCATGGGCATTGGTCTCGCGCGATTTATTTTTTTCGTTGTCTGAGACAGATTCTCCTTGCTCAGGGCTGACTATGCGCCCCTGAAATATGCATCACGATATACAAGATAGATAAGGTTATCCAATGCATTCAAGTAAGGAGAAACTTGTGCACTACCAAGGCGAATTCGGAGAGTAACGCGAGCTGGTAGTTGACTTAGCAACAAATAGATGAAGTGAAGGATACAATCTCTGCTCCGTACCCCTTCGCTCCGAACTTGACAGGATAATTAGGCGTTCGTCAGCACCCAATGAGATGTCAAAGCAATAGGGAATAAGGGTCGGAGGATGAGAAACAGAGCAAAAGCAGCCATAGTCCAAATTGACTCGGTCGGCGCCTGAGGCTAAGCATGAGTCACCACTCTTAACTATGGATCCATGGATACCTACCTAGGTAGGTCCTACTTAGGCCCCCATCTTCGACATTATGTATCTCCAAGATTTCCAATCTTGGAAGGTTGTAAGATGCACCGGAACTAGAACTCCGGACATCGGACTCACAGCTTTGCCCCACTTATCCCGCCATCTAGGACGTTCCGTCTGAATGTGCCCTGGTGTCTTTCAAGGATATCTGTTTAGCTCGGTCTACTTTATGTGTAAGAACCGAAGGAATCAAATACTGTTCTTGGAAGGTACAGCCGAACCTTACAGGGAGCCTCGTTCACTTTGCAAATACCGAGATCCCGGCATTGGTATATATTGGCCAGACTGTTGATTCCCCCAAGGCACACACTTCAGCCATGCAGAACCAATTTCAACAGGATCTATGGAAGGCCGCCCAGGGACCCTGGGTCTCAGGCATTCTTCCTAGCGCCGAGAACCTGGCGCGGGCTAGAGCTTCGCTCCCCGCGACACTTCCAGATACAGGATCCAATCTCGAATCTGTCCAGCGACACATTCTCGATGATATTGTCCCGGCATTCAACGGAGGAAGCCTAAGTGCCAACTACTATGGCTTCGTCACTGGCGGGACCACTCCGGCAGCGCTCTTCGCGGACAACGTTGTATCTGCTTACGATCAGAACGTCCAGGTGCATCTCCCAAATCACTCAATTGTCACCGATGTGGAGTATAACGCACTTGGCCTCCTTTTGGATCTCTTCCGGCTAGACCGTTCTATCTGGCATAACGGAACGTTCACTACTGGTGCCACTGGGAGCAATATCCTTGGCCTAGCATGTGGACGCGAGTTTATTTTGCAAAAGGCGGCGCAGAGAAAAGGCTGTCATCTCCAGAGTGTTGGCGAAGAGGGCTTGTTCGAGGTATTGAATGCACTGGGTCTTTCTGGGGTGCAAGTGTTATCCACGCTGCCACACTCGTCCCTCGTGAAGGCTGCTGGTGTGCTAGGCATCGGTCGTTCCAACGTACAGAACATCTGCCGAGCCGACGACCCGCTCCGGTTTGATATTGATAAGCTTGAGAAGGAACTTGCGAGAACAGACAAGGTCAGCATTGTTGCGATATCTTGCGGAGAGGTCAATACTGGTCGTTTTGCAACAAGTGGTGCGGATTTGAAAGAAATACGCCAGCTGTGCGACAAGTACGGAGCCTGGATGCATGCTGATGCAGCATTTGGAATCTTTGCTCGTGTTCTTGGTGAAAGCCCGGAGTTTGCGACAATCAAGAAGGGCTGTGAAGGAATAGATCTGGTCGACTCGATTACCGGTGACGGTCATAAACTTCTCAACGTTCCCTACGACTGTGGCTTTTTCTTTACCCGACACCCGAACGTGGCATCCCAAGTATTCCAAAATGCAAATGCAGCCTACTTGGCTGCTGGAAGCTCCGATGGCCCTTCCATCCCATCACCTTTAAATATTGGAATTGAAAACTCTCGCCGATTCAGAGCGTTGCCGGTGTATGCATCGTTGTTGTCGCATGGCAAGTCTGGATACCAAGAAATGCTGGAGCGTCAGATAAGGCTTGCCCGGAAGATCTACGGATGGGTCTTCGAGCATTCTGCGTATACAGTTTTGCCAGAAACATCGTCCAAATCCGAACTGCTCGATCAGACATTTATGTCTGTTCTGTTCCGCGCGAATGATGAGGGCTTGAACCGCGAGCTAGGAAGCAAGATCAACGAGAGCTCGCGAATGTTCGTCTCGGGTACCAGCTGGGATGGATCCCCTGCTTGCCGCATTGCAATCTCAAATTGGCGAGTAGACGTGGAGCGAGACTTTGCGCTGGTGACAGACGTGTTGGCAAAGGTTGCCCAGAGCTAGGGGGGTTAATAATAGGTGGACACAAGGAAAGCATATCTATAATCTCAAAAATTGGACATTTAACGCTTAAATAAGTTTTTGCATCTCTGTAGAGGGTATCAGCGGCGGCGACCAGCCCCTCCCATATTCTCAGTGCGGTCAGACATGCTGACAACCTCTCCAATACCCGCGGCCTCTTGCTCATCTTCCAGAGCCATGATTTCCTCTCGGCTATCCCACCACTTTTCTTCGGCCAGAGAGAACGCTGCCTTGCGCAATTCCTTGACAGTCTTGTCACCAGACCCTTCCCTCTCCTTGACAATTTCCATCATGATATTCTGCCATTCTTCAGAAGTGCGGCTGAAGAACTCTCGCAAGCTCTCGAATGGCCGAGGCAAAGGTCGGCTGTCATTGACATTTTGCTCTTCTGGTTCCTCAACTTCGAGTTGCTCCATGTCCTTGGTAACAGATGGCACATCCGTTGGAGCAGGCGAAGGAGCATCGAGAGACATCGCTTCGGTCTCAGCCTCATCATCTTCATCCATTTCCTCGTCGTCATCTTCGTCATCCATGTCTTCGTCACTGTCTTCGCCTTCCTTCAAGAGGTTCCAATTCTCAGGCTCCCTGTAGAATATCTCCTTGACGCCGTCCAGTTTGACTAGATCAATGGAATACATATCGTCAAAAGTGAATTCTCGGTCACCCTTTTCAAAAGTACCGCCAAAGATGAATAGGGTATCATCTTGCACTGCTAGCTGGGCATTGAATCGCCGATGGGGCATCTCGAAGCGAACAACCGAGGGCTGTGCGGGTTCCACAGGCTCCTCGGACTGAGGCGTGCTTATTTCCATATCATCATCTTCATTGTCCCGGATCCCAACTTTAGCTTCCAGGGCTTTCAGGTTTGCCAAAAGCTCCTCCTCGTCCGCCTTGCCCCTATTTTTAGACTTTGCATTTTGGTTTGCCTGCTGCTTTTTGCCGGGCGCGCGGGGACGTCGAAGACTCAACGGGAAGAAACGGTTTCTGTCGGTGGTCCAAGCGAAGAGAGTATCGAAGAATTCGCTTTCAATACCCTCCTCGCTTAGTTCCACGTCGTGGACACCACCGAACATAATTCCTCGGCCCTTGTGGTATGCCATGGTAGTGCCAACACGGGGCGGATTGGGCGTATTAGCGGGCTTCTTTCGTCGCTCCCATCGAACTGTAGGTGCTGTTGACGATGGAGCCTCAGCTGTAGGGGGCGTGACTCTCAAGAACCAAGTATCCTGGTGAACCATGGGGCGGAGAGCCATCTTCTGGGGACCGCCGCCCTTGCCTTGCTTACCACCACCCGCAGCTGCCTTCACTCGGGAGTAACCTCCATAGAGGACTGCTCCAGTATCGTGCGGTAGCAGAGAGAATGATGAGCGAGGATCGGGCTTTTGGGAAGCAAGGGTTAACGCGGGGTTGTGCCAGGTATACTGATTACAATCATAGATCCACAGGTCCTGCAAGTACTTAGTCTGCTGAGAGGTATCTTGGAATCCACCAAAGAGGATGATGTAGTTCTGTCTCGGTGTTAGCTCCAATGGAAAATAGAAGCTGAAATTAAAACACATACTTTGAAATAGGTCATGCGGTGTCCACTTCTAGCGGGAGGGCCTTTTCCTTTAACCTCGAGCCGAGTCCATTCTCTTGTGGCTGTGTCTAAGTGCCAAAAGTCATTGTAGTGATAGAACGTGCCTTGCTTCGGCGACGAGAACTCTCCTGCTGATAGTTAGTCTCCGCACAAAAAACTTCAATACTTCCAGCAAGACAATCTTACCTCCAAACATATAGATGCCTCCGGAGTTTCCTCCTCGGCACCATGCATGACCACTTCGAGGAAGAGGACTGTTGGGACTAGTCACCTCTCTCCATTCGCCGCGGTCAATCAAATAGACGAAAAGGTTATTGAAGAAAGTGGCATGCGTCCCGTCAAAGTATTCTCCACCGAAAAGCAACAGCTCATTTCGGTTGGACGGAGATGCTAGCAGGGTTGAAGACGAGCGTGGGACCGGTGGCTCAGAAGGAACTTCAGTAACCTTCAAGAATTTGGCCTGCTCTTCGGCGTACTGGGCCAGAATGGCATCTAGGTCTGCGTCTTCAGCATCGCTGTCTGCATCTTTGCCCTTGGCTTTAGATCTCTTTTCTTTCTGTGCGGTCTTCTTTGACTGCTTTGCCGCTACGCGGTCCTTGTGCTCGGCGGACTTCTTGGTCTTTTTGCCCATTTTGGCTCAATGTTGGATACGAAGGTGAGTTTTCCTGATGTTCTTTTCGTGGGGCAGAAATTATGCCTTTCCCCACACTGAATTGCCCCCCCTCCAGATCAGATCTATGTCTGTAGGCCTGCTGCTTCCACCACTGAATTTTGTTTATATCTAAACTGTGACAAATAGAAGAACATATAATAAGAATGATGGGTATATACAAGATTTGATGTTCTTAGTCCAATTTGGTCGAGTAACTTTTAGTTGAACGTAGTTGCCTCTATAGATTGATTTTGGTTGACCGCTCACGTGCCGACGCGTCCATATCAGTTTCGCGATTGCCCTCATTACTCCAAACAGATCCACGGCCATGACAGCAACAGGCCCCCATGACGAAGAATAACTTAGCAACTCATCTCAAATGGTTGATAACCCAAGGGAACCCTGTCCAACCCCCTCTGGCGCAAACCAGCTTGCCTGAATGCAACAATCACGTATCACAGCAATCTATTCCCCCCACAGACGAATTCGCGGCCCTCGATGATATCCTTGAAGACGCGGAGAATGAGACGGATGTATCAATGGCTAGGTTGTTACCTCAATCTGCGAGCAAGCCTCGAATGCTGAGCCGACACGATGCGGTCCCCACCCCTACTCCGTCAAGTACGAAGAAACGGGCTTCGCCGAAACAGCCAAGCATAGCTCGAGGTATGTGGCCGATTAAGACGAACTTCGCGGGAATTATTAAACTGACACAATCTGCACAATGATCAGAGTCCTTCCGCCAACCACCATTATCATCATACAAACCTTCTCGGCCAAAGTCGACTCCATCGCGACCAAAGAGTTTCCACGCGCCTGAACAGCATCAGATCGAATCGATTGATCTGACAGGGGAGCTTGATCGGTCCTTATTATCCTCGTCGGAGACTCTCCCGGCTGGTGAGTCGCGTGGGCCATGGGCAGAAGAAAGCACCCCATGCGCAACTCGTGAGAAACGCGGCAAGAAGCGCAAAAGTGACGAGTATACCTCCGATCTTCTATCGCCCTCGAAACATGCGACGAAAGTGCGGACTGCCTCGAAGGCGGCTCCGTTTCCCGCCACTAAAGCCATTGTTTCGGAACAGCCCACAATCCCACGTCAGACAGCTCAAACAACTCAGACAAATCCCCGAAGCGCGGTGAAACGACTTGGACATCATTCACCTGTTGCCCAACGGAGCCATCGGAAACAAGTGATCGCGGACTCAGATGATGACGATGATCTCTTTGACGACTGGCCTGATAATGAAGATCCCGCCGATAAGATGATCTTGAATGCTGAGGAGAGTTTGTACCCAATACTCCCCGAGATGAGTCCAACGGCGGATGAGAAAAAGATTGAGACGAAGCGTTCACGATTGGACTCTACGCCCAAAGCATCGCTCACTGCGCAACCATCGACTCAGCCAAAGAAAACGACTTTTGTCAAAGACCCTATCCCGTCGACACCTTGGTCGAAGCCATCCAGCTCAGAGGAGAAGGATCCGGATCTTCTGAAGTTTTTGACCCTTGGACATAATGCCTTCGGGCATGCGATTTCCAAGTTGAAGTCTACTCTGCAGAAGAATTCTGAAATTGTTTACCAACAGGCCATGGAGGGTCAGCCAGTCCCAGAATTGATCGCCGAGAACAAGGCTCTTGTTGCTCAGATCGAGGCAATTGAATTGTTGCAAAAACATCAAAACACCCACAAGGGCTGTGTTTCTCGCAAGCAAGATCTGAAGCAAAACTTGATACGTGTGATCTCACAAGGTCTAGACCCAGCAACTATGCCAGAAGAGCTCGCGCAGAGTCGAGCAGTTGAGGCAGAGTTGGAACAAACCGAATCAAAAATCTGTGAGCTCCTATCTGAAGCCAATATTCTCGAGTTAGCGCACGATTGCCCATCTGAGAAACACACTCAGCCCACCTTCGAAGCCCACGCAGTCACACGGGAGCCCCCTCTTTTCTCTCCTTCGCGGACCGACTTGAAAACAGAATCCCGTGGCCAGCAGCATTTACCCCGAACGAGTCCTAAGAAAACCAAAGAAACAAATCGGGCAAGTAGCTATGAAAACTGTATTTCGCGGAATATGGGCACGCCGCCATTAGATCCGATGGATCTCGATGAGTTCGACTGGAATGTCACCGACGATGACATATTAGAGGCAGCAGGGGGCTTCGATGGTGCTTATCAGATACCCGTCCGCGAGCAAGCCAGTCAAAACCGCAAAGTTTTCGCAGAGACGTCCGGCAACATTCTCAAAGCCCCCGTCCCGAAGAAGTCGCCCGGTCATAGCGCCTTCTGGTCAAACCATCCATGGTCTCAAGAAGTAAGGAAAGTGTTGAAAGAGCGATTCCATCTCCGCGGATTCCGACCCAATCAGCTTGAAGCAATTGATGCGACACTTGCTGGCAAAGATACTTTCATTCTCATGCCTACTGGAGGAGGAAAGTCTCTATGTTATCAATTACCTTCTGTGGTAACGGGTGGACGCACCACGGGGGTAACAATCGTTATATCTCCATTGTTGAGTCTGATGGAGGATCAGGTATCACACCTGCGGAAACTGAACATTAAGGCCTTCATGGTCAACGGCGACACCGGCCCAGAGGAAAAATCCTGGATCATGAGCCAGCTCTCGAACGCAGCTGGCGAGGGGATGGAGGTCTTGTACATTACTCCTGAGATGCTCAGTAAAAGCCAAACCTTGATCAGAGCCCTTGAGAAGCTTCACGGAAGAAACAGACTAGCACGCCTCGTCATCGACGAGGCTCACTGCGTCAGCCAATGGGGCCACGATTTCCGACCTGATTACAAGGAGCTAGGAGAGGTTCGAGCCAGGTTCCCTGGTGTGCCAGTCATGGCCTTGACGGCCACCGCCACTGAGAATGTCAAAGTTGACGTGATGCATAATCTTAAAATCACTGATTGTGAAGTGTTCTTGCAAAGTTTTAACCGTCCTAACCTCACCTACGAGGTACGGTCGAAGGGAAAGAATGATGAGGTTCTGGCCAGCATGGCGGAGACCATTACAAGCTCATATCTGAATCAGTGTGGAATTATCTACTGCCTCTCGCGAAAGACATGCGACAAGGTTGCAGAGGATCTACAGAAGAAGTACCACCTCAAGGCGCTCGCTTATCATGCTGGTATGTCAGCCAATGCAAAATCGGAAGCTCAGAGGAAGTGGCAGATGGGCCGAGTGCATATCATTGTTGCCACCATTGCATTCGGAATGGGAATCGACAAAGCCGATGTGCGATTTGTCATGCACCACAGTATCCCAAAGAGTCTCGAGGGGTATTATCAAGAAACCGGTCGTGCTGGTCGAGACGGCAAACGTTCTGGCTGTTATCTTTACTTCGGATACAAAGACACAGCAACCTTGAAGCGGATGATCGATGCAGGGGATGGCAATGGTCAGCAAAAAGCCCGTCAAAAACAGATGTTGCGAAATGTGGTTCAATATTGTGAGAACCGCAGCGATTGCAGACGAGTGCAAGTCCTCGCCTATTTTGCGGAATACTTCCGCCGAGAGGACTGCAACGACACTTGTGATAACTGCAAGTCCGATTTGGTGTTTGAGCTCCATGACTTTACTGAGCAGGCATCTTGGGCCATCAAGATTGTGCGACAATTCCAGAACACACAGGAGAAGGTGACCGTGCTATACTGCAGTGACATACTTCGCGGAGACTGCAAACGGCCTAAAGCTCCAGAGCATCGCACGATGCCGGGATATGGGAAGGGATCTGACCTCGACCGTGGAGCAGCCGAACGTCTGTTCTACCGGCTGCTGGGTGAAGACGCATTGGCCGAAGACAATGTGATCAACAAGAGTGATTTTGCTGTTCAGTACCTCGTTCTCGGCCGGCGTGCAGCGGAGTATGAGAGTGGCCAGCGACAGATGAAATTGCTGGTTCGCGCGTCGCCGAATAGCAAGGCTAAAGCCAAGAGCAAACCTTCAGGTGCCGCGCAGAAGAAAAAGTCTGGCGGCGATCCTCAGTCCACCATGGTCTCTTCTCCAGTCCAAGCTGCCCAAGACCGCCGCCTTGACCGTTATCAATATACCGGTATTCCAGCTGCACGTCTCTCGGCCGATGAGGATAGTGATGGCTTCGAACCGATTCGAACCACCGGCAAGCCTCGCCGCGCGAACACACACGAGATGGGCCCTCCAATCACCAGCGATCAGAAATTGGATCAACTTGATCATATGCATCGTGTAGTTGTGGAGGACTTCCAGGAGCATGCCAAAATCATGCTTCAAGATGTGAGTAATCGCCGTAGTTATCGGTACACCATCAAGAAACTGACAGTTGTTATAGCTTGTCGTTAAGAAGGGCCTTCGGTGCCAACCGTTCTCTGATCAGGTGCTACGTGATATGGGCATATCCTTCCCCTCAAGTAAATACTCGTTCTTTGATCATTTTGGAACACCAAGCTAACAATGAGATAGATCTTACTGAGCTTTCCGCGATCCCGGGCATCGACCAAGATAAGGTGAAGCGCTACGGCCGGCAGATTCTGGGACTGGTTGATAATGCAAAGCGGCGCTACCTGGAAATGAAGCAGGAAGCAGAGACCAGCGGCATTGTTCCGGATCCCAACCACCATAATGTCATCAATCTCAGCAGCAGTGATGAGTATAGCGACGACGACTTGTTCATGGATGATGTTTCTGCCTTCAATCTGGATAATCCTGTTGCAACCGCACCCAGCAATGCGGCTGAAAATATCACAAGTCGTTATTTCCCTCCAGCAGCATCTCCGGGGATGATGGGTATGACTCTGGTAACGACTGGGAATCAGGTACTGCGCCTTCCGGCTCCAAGAGTCGCAAGCGCCAGCCTGCTAGTGGAAAACGACCGTCAAGGCGTAAATATGGCTCCACTGGCAGCTGGAAGAGCAAAAGCGCACGCCCAAAGGCCAAATCCGGCGATCGTCCAACAAGCCAGTCATCTGCGCCGCGAAAGAATGCCAGGGCCAAAACGCCGAAGTCTACGATTGGAATGATGCCTATTTGAAGTACTTGTTATTGTTCTTTCCCCACCCTTTGTCGGGATGTTTATGATTGATTCAGCGTTTTCACAAGCATCTCTAGGTGTTCTTTTCTCACGGTTCGTAGGGAGTCATTTGGAGGTCATGCCGGGTTATGTAGTATTTGACATGTTTACAAAGGACCAGGATATGAGAAGATACACATTCATGAATCAATAATACCATTTTGTCACTCAATCATAGAACTCTCCACATTCAATGCCCCAGTGAGCGGCCAAAATCAATTAATCGAAGCCGCCTCGCATCTCGAGGGTGAAACTGCGCGACCTTGGCTCTCACGAGAAATCTCGAAGACGCCGAGTCGCGTTCCAAATCAATATAGGAGTCGGCCTCCAACATAGCGTCGAGAAGACCGTGCATCTCCTTCGCAGCTGCCTCTCTCTTGTTTATGGGAGCCTCCTCCGCATTGCGTTTCATGAACTTATCAATCCGCTGCTGTGTTCCATCTTCTGTTTCTGCCGCCTCGTTCTGCTTCTTAGGCTTGCCGTGTGCTGTATAACCCGCCTTTAGCGTAGCATCCGACACTTCGAAAGCATCGCCCACAGTCGGGCCGCCCAGATCCTCAGCAGCAAGCATTGGGGCAAGAGTCTCATCGATGAACTTATCCAACGAGACCTTGAGGCTCGCTGACGTGCGGTCCAATTCTTTATTTTGCTTTTTCTGTAGGGCGAGCTGCTCGCGTGCCACCTGCGACGGAGTTTGCTCTTCCTTTTTCGTGTTCGCATTGCGGATTCTCTGAATCCGCTCTCGCAGTCCGCTTGCGATTGATTGAGAGTCGCGTAGATTGGTCTCTTCGACCCGCAAGCGTTCTCGGTCTACAGACAGCTGTTCGGCGGCCATTTTGACAGATACCTTGTTTTCTTGGACAAGCCGCGCAGTTTCTTCAATGGCTAGAAGTGATGGCAATACCGAGTCTGTTGCTGGGAGCTCGTCATCGGACTTGAGAAGCGAGTCGTATGCTTTCTTGGCCCGTCGGGCTTGGGAGATGCGGGCCCAGGAATCGGTGCCCGTTTCTGTTAGGTCAAGGGAATTGCGCTCCCGCAGCTATAACTCATGTCAGTCGAGGAATTCTATTATAATGAGAATCTAACATGCCTTGTTCAATTCATCCTGCTGACGTTTGACTTGCTCTTGAAGCCCTTGCAAGGTTGCATCTAAACGTCGCATGTAGACATGCAATGCAGTTCCACCAAGAGGTTCTTTTGATGACACTTGCTCTGCTTCTTGGCGCTTTTCAGCGAATTTCTGGATCTTCTGCACCGTTTGGTCGGAGATATCCATGCTTATTTTGGCGGAGTGACGCGAAATGCAAATATTTTCTTCTAGAAGTAACGAAAAATATTTTTAATTAGAGCTCGATTGCCATTTAGACTTGCTGGAAAATGTTTGATTGAAGCCTTAAGAGGCAATCAAAATATTGAACACGAGACGAGATGTATCACGCCCATGCAACATTCGCGTCGACGTCATGTGACCAAGCTTCACCCTCGACTTCCTTCCCCCATCGCCAACTTCATCTCTTCTCCTTAATCACCGCGATCTCATTTCATCGCCTTCATCAATTCCATTATCCCCGCCTTTCTTCGAGATTTCATTAGATTCTCGCCAGTGAAGCTATTAACTCGTTGATTACGAGTTTAGCCCACACCCTTGACCTCAGATTCAGACGTTATCGGAGGCTACAGTGTGGTACAGCAGGCAACGGTTTCTGGCGCTTGATATTCTACTTGCCTCATTTCCTATTTCCCATCGCGTTCTCCCAAGGATCCCATCTCCACCCTTTCCGCTTCCTCATCATTTCGAGCATCTCGGCAACCCCCGTGAAGCTTCCCCGGTTGTGACAGCAAAGCCCTCTCACTTGAATCTGCACTTTCTCCCGTCTTACATCGGCACTTCCTCAGTACCACCTTTCCTTCACAGCCTCTCCAATCTTCTCAAAGCACCAATCTCCCCTTCCGATCGCCAGCACCAGCACCTTTCGTGGGAAATTCTGGTGTACATAAAACGATCATAAAAGAAGAAAGCAGATTTCATTCTTGACACCTTCCGATTTCACTTGTAAGTGAAAGAAAAGCAGCACAGACCAAGATGTCGGCTTCTCCTTCCAACCTTCAGTCGACCAAGCGTCCTCTCGAGGACCCTTCGTCGCCGTCCGGTCCCAATGACCAGCCTGAGGCCAAGCGCCCGGCGCTAGACAAAGTAGTCAAGAGCGACGCCGAGGCGGAAACAGATGTATCCAGTAGCCAGGTTCCTGCTGTCGAAGGTGCCAAGGATACCCAGGGAGATACCGTGGTTCCCGATGCGCCCAATGGCAAGGGTCTCCCTGACACCCAGCCCATCCAATCCACAGCTTCCCAGGCCGACCGAGCGGCTTCTGATCAGCCCCCACAGGACGAGTCGAGCTGGGTTCATATTCGTGCGGTGATCTCCAGCCCGGAGGCAGCCACCGTGATTGGAAAGGGAGGTGAGAACGTGTCCCAGATCCGTCGTCTGTCCGGTGCCAAGTGCACTGTCAGTGATTATTCTCGGGGTGCAGTGGAGCGTATCCTGACCGTCAGCGGTCCCCAGGATGCTGCTGCCAAGGTAGGTCCTTTCTTTCCGTTCAATGGGTTTGTTACGAGGGTTTGATTGCTAATCACAAATATTAGGCGTTTGGTTTGATCATCCGTACCCTTAACAATGAACCTCTCGAGGCCGCTTCTACTGCCCAATCCAAGACGTACCCTCTGCGTTTGCTAATTCCTCACATTCTAATTGGCTCCATCATCGGCAAGGGTGGCAGCCGCATTCGTGAAATCCAGGAGGCTTCTGGCGCTCGCCTGAATGCCTCGGATGCTTGCCTCCCTCTGTCCACGGAACGGTCCCTCGTCATCCTCGGTGTTGCGGATGCCGTCCACATTGCTACCTACTATGTCGCTGTCACCTTGGTCGAACAGCTATCCGAGCGTTACGGTGGTCCCGCAGCTTCGGCATATGCCACTCGCAGCGGTGGTCCTGCCGGTGCTGTCCCTGGTGGTATGCAAGTTGTTCCGTACGTTCCTCAGCCGGCCGGCGGCCAATACGGCCACCCCGATACGTTCAAGCGTCACCACCCTCACCCCAACCGTGCCGGTGGTGGTGCATACGGTGTTCCCTACCTGCACGGCCAGCCAGCTCCTGCCCCTGTCCCTCAGACCCCGATGCACTTCCCCGCCGCTCCCCAGGCCCCTTACGGCGGTGCAGGCCCTCACCAGCCCGCTCCCTTTGTTGGCGGTCCCCAGCAACCGACCCCTGGCCGTGGACCTCCAACAGCCCCTGCTCCCGTGGGCGCTGCCATGCCCGGTCAGCCACTGACTCAGCAGATCTACATCCCTAATGACATGGTTGGCGCCATCATCGGCAAGGGTGGTGCTAAAATTAACGAGATACGTCACCTTAGCGGCAGTGTGATCAAGATCAATGAGCCCCAGGAGAGCAGCAATGAGCGTCTGGTTACTATCACTGGTACCGCGGAGTGCAATCAGATGGCTCTGTACATGCTCTATTCCCGACTTGGTTCGTCTTCCCCTTCCCCAGGTGAATCCCCTTGTGCCCAGGTTCTAACGGATGGATCAGAGAGTGAAAAACACCGGATTTAAGTCTAGCAGCGCAACCTAGTACGCTTGCTACGAGAGTCTTATTGCGGGGTTCTGCCCAAAATTTTACGGTGGTTAACGAAGTCTCCTTTTCTTTGCCTTCGATTTCTCTCAGGGTGTTATTCCTTCTTTCCTTTTCTTGCTTTCTCGTTGTATCTTATTCCAAGGCGCTTGATTGATTTTCTGCCTTTTCTAATAACAATTCCCGCAATTATCCCTTGAATCAAGTAGCCCTTTTCCCATTCCACTACCTGCTCTAATTATCACCGACATATCCTATGATCCACGCAACAGCTCAAATTACATCCACGTCCCAACATTAATCCACGAAACCTCGCTCTCTTTCGTTTATTTCTCTTCCTATCTCGATTCGAGCCCTTAACCCTCGATCTTTTGGAAACTAACATGTTTCATCTCCAACCCAGGAATAGGTGGCAGCATTTTCTCTCTCAGAGGCGCAATACTCTGAACAAACTTCTCTGTCTCCTTGGCCTTGAGATGCACCTCTATACTTTCCCAGCCAACAGCGAGGAGGTGAGCAAAAGCTTCCCCAGTCGGACTCTTCTCGTGCGGCAGCTTACTCGGCCGGTCAACATGCCCATCGACCACGACCGTGGCCCTGCTGCCTGTGCCAGCTGTTCGACCATCGTGGTGCGGAAGTTGATCAAGTCCGCGTTGATCTGCTTTAATGCTGGCACTTCAAGGTCGCTTCGGAAAGACAGCGTGCACAGCTCAGTCACGGGGTTTTTTGTTAGTGTTTCTGTGATGGAGAGTGGAGGGCTGAACGTGACGCGGAGACATGATGGTGGCTGGGGATTGTCTGGGGCCAGGAATGGCTCGAGAAGTTGGATGTTTATTGTGCTGCGGGGGTCGGTCCAGTCTATTGGTTTGGGTTAGGCCGTATAATACTGTAGAATTGTAGGGGTGTGGGTATATATTGTAGTTTGAGAATTGTTGAAAGGGATGCTGAACTCACCTACAACCCAGACGATGGTGTCTTCGTCTTCGGATGTGCGTCCCCAGGATGAGTGCTGATGACCGCTTTGATGCTTGGTCGTGATGAAGATCCTCATAAGAGCCTCGCCTTCCTCGTTGGAGGGGTCTTCAGGCTTGACAGAAGATTTGACGCGGAAGAAGGTGACCTGACTAACGGTTTGAGACATGTTCCAAGGGTTGGTTTTTTTTCCCCAATGATAGTATGATTGGGAGAGGTAGACCTGGAGTTATCAAAATCAAAATACAGGTGACTGATGTCACGGGCACATGATGTCACTGGCCATACAATCCCAATTAGGAAACTGCGTTGGCTCCTTCCTTCCTTCGTCCCTTCCTATTTTGTGTAGTGAGTACCTTCCCTACCTTCCCCAGTAGAGTCATGGCCAACCTTAGAAGTACTTGGTTTTCTCCTTTTCTCTCTTCTTTCTCCTCTTCTTTCTTCTCTCGTCTCTCCTTGACAGCCACACACAATGTCCTCATTATCCATTCCCTTCCCAGGCATAAGAACTCGACTGTTCTTCTTGGCTACGGGTATAAGCCACCTCTTATCCCCTAGCGTCACAATCCGCCTATTGGAATGGTTATTTTTCTGGCAGCTTCTGTCTTGCCTCGCTCTGGCACATATCCTCGGACTATTGATCTTATGGTTTCTTCTCCTATCATATACCGAAGACCATGCCATACATGTATATTATCATTGGTTGCAGACACTGGTGAACTCTCAAATTCAACGATTTCCACATCGGTCTCACGTCGCCTGAGCATGTCTTCCGAGTGCATCTGGTTCCTCGGTCAAATCGAACCCTCGTCTTAAAAACCTTGAAAACCGCCCGCGCGCCTGCAGCGAGGAGATACTCAGTCGAATGCGGACTGCGATTTCACTCTCGCAACATGACGTTGGGTACGGGGGTGCAGAGAATGTCTTTTATGATGTCTGATATCTGCTCCTTTGACACTCCAGATCCTTTAATATTTCAGGCACTTGGCTAATGTATCCTTTAGTTACTTTGTTAGGTTTGAGAGCGGGTTGTCTTTCAACCAAATGGCATTTCATAACTTGTGTGATGGCGGTTCAACTTCGCCGAACTACTCGAATTCAGACTGCGTTGTTCGATCAATATGGGTCTTAGGGCTAGGACTTACGGATTATGTGCTATTCGCTACATCTGAAACTTTGCGTCTTTCTGGGATGACTTTTCTCCTTTTTTTTTTTCTTTCCAACATAGCTGCTTTATTCATCTGTCAGATACCCTCAAAGATCCCGGTTGACTGCATACATCATACCTCTTGCCTTAGTCTAATACTCGCAATCTACCAACAGAACAATAATTTCTATATCTGATAGAACTGTTTCCTCCGTCAAACTAGGGGAAAATCACACTCCGGTCAAGATAAACCCTGCCTGTCATGATTTCTCCGTGCCACCAGAGTGCCAGAGTCTTAGCCTGATCCCTGACTGTATCATTGTGTTCCTCGCCCCTGGGAATCCCAACTACTGGGAGCGAGAGACACAGGTGTCTCTGGTAATGCTGGGCACAAGCTGAAATGCTGGTCTCGGCGCGTCCGATCTGATGAACTACCCAATCCATCAGTTGTTCGTCCGTATGGGTAAACTTCATTGCTTCAGGAAATTCGATGGTAACCCAAAGAGCTGCATCATCCTTGGGGTCCACCAGACGTTCACGCGCCATAAAAGGACATCTATCACTTGAGCGTCCTGCCATTTTGTTGGTAGATAAGATGGGTTGAACGAACTGGGCTTTGCTGGAGAGTTGTTTGGAGGAATGCTGGCGGTGCTTGTGTTGTGGATGTAGAGACTCGAGCGAGGGCATTGGCCTTTTATATAGTTCTACCACGTCGGCTGGAACAAAGATGTTTTACCATTCATTGATATAATAGCTTTGAATAGAAAGTCTTTGATTAACCGATGAAACCAGTTTCGTTCTATCCTAATGCGTAAAGATGTGCGTTGCCTTTGCTTTGTTACTTTGTCTCGACGTGTCATTGTTTTACTTTGTCCGTTAAAGATACATCTCAATATACAGGGTTGATCAGGAGGTAAGCTTACACAATGAACCGCATGTAGATAGGGCTTTCATTTGATAGCTAACTTGGCCACTCACTGTGGCGCTGAAAAAAAAAATCCGCTACATACGTATGTGCATGCCATGACTCCCTGGCCCAATTAAGACCATCCGCCAGATACCAATCCACGCTGAAAGCAAATTCCCCAAATATCGGATCAGAATCTTTAGAGAACCAAATGAAAGCAAATAAAAAGAAAATGAGAAGAAACTAGAGACACTACCAGTCATCGACGCCACGCACCTTTGCCTGCTTGTCCTCGAAGGCCTTCTTCAAGTTGGCATTCAAGTGCTGGCGACGCGACTTCTTGGCCTTGTATTGGACGGCTTCTTCTTGCGGAACGGCAGGTTCGACAACACCCTCCACACTGCGGAGACGGCTCTGTCTCACTGAGCCAGTGATGCTGGCCCGGAAGTTGAGACCGCGCGAAGCGGAATCGGGGGTGTGATAGGCGCTACCGTCAATCGAGCCTCGGGACCCAGGAGTCATGGGGATACGGCCAGCAGCGGTCTTGCGAGGAGTAGAGAAGGGAGACGCCTCGCGGCTTGGAGGTCCTGTGGGAGCAATGTCCACGCCGAGCTTGCGCATCTGTGCCTCGAGAACATCGATGTCTGTGCTCTTGCCCTCGGCCATGCTCATCATTGTAGCAATGGTCTTGGTGACGGCCTCGACGGTTGGTCGGTTCCTGCCGGCGCCACTCGCCTGCGGAATGTCGGCGATTTTGGCACGCAGGAGGGAGACTGCCTCTTCAAGAGCGGCCATCTTGACCTGAATATTCGTGAATGTGGTGCGTAGATCATGCTGAAGCGCACCTTGCTCGGCAGAAAGTGGTGCTTCGAGGATAGCGCCGATGTCGGTGTGTGCGTCAAGAGTCTTGCGGATGCTTGCGAACTGGCCTCGCAGGGTGACAACCTGCTTTGTGAGCAGGTCACGGCATGCATCGAGCTTTTCATCCACTCCCTGCACTCGCTGGTTGTCCAATGATTGTGCAATTGAAGCAATCAGCTCTTCAAATCTCTCAATGTCCTTCAGGGCCATCTTCGTGTCAAGAATGTCAGCAGGCTGGTCGCTGTTCAGAACCATCACCCAGTCATCAATATCAGAGGGTTTCTTGGGCTGCTGGTGCAGAAGGAATCCCGCCATTGACCTAGCATTTATGCCCAATGTATCTACCATAGAGTTGATGTCACGATAGAGTCGCTCGACCTGGCCGGCAATACCTGGCTTCGCAGTCTCGCCCATGTAGTTTTGGTGGGGCAAGAACGGATCCAGGGTATCAACAGGCTCAACGGGCTGAGCTAACTCATCTCGGAGTCTATCGTCATCGTCATCGTCTGACAAAGACAGAACATCCTCGTCCTGAAGCTGAGCTGCCGCATGTGCCCGTGCTTGCTTCTCTTGCTCTTCACGAGCAACATCGCTGGCCTTTCTGAAGTGACCATCACGCTGGGCAATCTGCGTAAGGGATGCCTTGCGCGAGTGCAATGCACCTGTGGACCCCTTACGGCCGTGTGACTTCTCAGAGAATAACACGTTCTTCTTCCCGCCGACCCGAACTGGACTCGGTGAACGGTAGGGTTCCCGATTGCCTTGCGCAATGGGGCCCGGGGGAGGAAGCAGTGGCTGCTTAGGGATCTCCCCAAATAGCTGCCGAGGAAGGCGGCCTTTGTCATCCGCGGTTCGAGCAGGACTGGTGAAGAATCCTCCGGTGGAGCTTTGCTCGGAAATTGCACCAAACGAGCTCTCAGCTGATTGCTTGGATTTGGCGATTAATGCTTCGTCATGTGTGATTTCTTCGCCGCTATCACTGAAGTCTGACTCGCCAGCGGCCTCTGACTCTGCATCGGAGATACCAGATTCTTCAGATTCATCTGGAATTGGAACTGCCTCTTCGACAGGTTTGGTCTTTGGCTTTGCGGTGAAGTCAGGCGGCAAAGGTGCCTCCTCGGGGACGGCTGCAGCCTCGGTTTTTTTGGGCTTTGTTAGGAAGTCTGGAGGAAGGGGAGCATCGTCCGTCTTCGGAGCAGGCTTCTTCTGAGTGAGGAAGTCAGGAGGGAGAGGGGCGTTGTCCGTCTTCGCGGTAGATTTCTTCTGAGTGAGGAAGTCAGGAGGGAGAGGTGCATCCTCCGTCTTCGGAGCGGGCTTTTTCTGAGTGAGGAAATCTGGAGGAAGGGGAGCATCGTCCGTCTTGGGTGCAGACTTCTTCTGCGAAAGGAAATCAGGCGGTAGAGGGGCATCATCTTCAGGTTTTAGTGAAGCCTTCTTCACCTTGGTGAAATCGGGAGGAAGCGGGGCATCCTCGACAGAGGATTTCGACACGTTGGAAGAAGCAGAAGTATCTCCAGCGGCATAACTAGCCCGGCTGGTAGAATCTGGTGGCAATGGTGTCTCCACGTCGATGCCTGTTGTGCTAGGCAAATTCTTCTTTGGTGTCTCTGTCTTGTCAGACGGTGCTGACAATGGACTGGTCACGCGGTTTTGGTCGGCATTAGTGCCGAACATCGAGAATGCTGGCTTGGTGTTCTCTACTGAAGTCGTTGTCTTTGAACTGAACATTGATGTGGGAGTCTGCGAAGCAGGCTTGCTGACCCCGCCGAAAATTGAGAATGTCTCCTTATTCACAGGCTCGACGTCTTCAGTATCATCCATTGATTCACTGGGCGACGGGCTTCCCTTGCGGGGCGTTGACACCATTTCGTCAAAGGAGCCACCAAATGAGAACGCTCCGGAAGAAGGCTTGTCTGCTTTTGGCAAATCATTGACAGCCGAGCCATCGCCTTTAAAGCTAGACTTCAGCTCAAAGCCACCTTGCGCAGCGCCGAAGGGATTCTTGACTTCGTTGGAAGCTGGAGGTGGGAACGAAGTCTGAGGCTTGGCTCCAAAGGGTGAGGTAGAGCTCTTGGCAAAAGCACTTTCACCAGTAGAGGCCTTTGCGAAGGGCGACTCTTTCGGCTGCGTTGCCGCGAACGGTGACTCTGTTGGCTGCTTCGCTGCGAATGGTGACTCGCCCTGCTTTGCCGTTGCAAATCCACTGAAGCCGCCTCCACCGGAGAAGGCGCTGAAACCACCACCGCTAACTGCTGCACCTTTGGCTCCGAAGGGGTTTGCCGGGGAGCTAGACTGTCCAAGTCCAGATCCCATAGCCCCGAATCCAGACTTCCCGAACTGTGGCTGTCCAGGGGTACTGGGAGTGCCAAATGATGCGCCCGGCTGAGAGGGAGTCCCAAAGGCGGGAGCAGGGGATGATGGTTTTCCAAAGGCCGGGCCAGGACTTCCACCAAGCCGGGACGGACTGCCGAATGCTGGAGCGCTTTGTTTCCCAAAAGCAGTTGCGCCCATAGTTGAAGCCCCCAGGGCTGATGGGCTACCAAAGGCAGGAGCTCCCGCTGGCTTTCCGAAAGCTGGCTGTCCAAATGCTGATGAACCTCCGAACGATGGCTGTCCAAATGGAGATTGCTGTGCAGGGGCCGGGGCCGGGGTTGGAGCTGCAGCCTGCGGCTGGGATGGAGCTTGGGTTGCCTGACCAGACGAAATCAAACCCGAATACGGGATGTTTTGGCGAATGGAATCAGCGTAAACAAACCACCACGATGAGAGGATACCATCGTTGTTCAAAAGAAGAACCCCGGGAAGGGGCGTTGAGCTCTCCAAGATGTCGGAACCAGGAAGCGGCGCAACGACATTTTCCGTGGCTGACAGGTTTGGCGCTAGGCCAATGACCGATGTCTCATCTCCAGAGTCCTTCAACGGGACACTGGCACGTTTGGTGTCGTCGCTTACTTCTGTGGTCATGAACTGGCCAACATGAAGTTTTGTTCGCTCATCGTTGGCCAGAGGTTGGTCAGATCGCGTGATGAGGCCGAGATCAGTTGACGCAGTTGACGCGACGATCAACACGTCTCTCAAGTGAGGCTTGTACTCTCTAATTCTGGTGATAAATTGGAATGCGGGGCCACGCTTCAGCATAAAGCCCATTGTCGAGCAGACTTCCGGCAATTTCTGGATGAGGAACGGTGCCTGCTTGCGGCGGGTTATGATGTAGTATGAAGAAGCTGGGTTCATTCCCATATCATCCTCGGAACATTTGGTGTGTACGTCACGAAGAAAACATCGTTTTCAAGCCATGCGATTGATGAAACTGTATAATCATAAGTAAAAGCGCACGTTTGGTTCTGGCAGTTATTGGAAACTTACTGTGGCAATCTCCCTCCAGATCAGATGGCCGAGGAACTTCGGCCTTCTTCGTCCCATCTGGGGTCATCTGATATCCAGTGCCATCGGCCAATCCAGCAATAAGCTGTTTTCCTTTGTTGCTCCATGAAGCACAGCTGACACCATCCTTAAGAACCGGGCCACTGGGTCCAGGGACTAGGCTCCCAGCCTTGAGATCAGCGATAAGAAGCTCGCCGTTAACGGTGACCAGCGCGACGAGTGTAGAAGAAGGGTCAGGGTTTGGTGCCAGTGCTCGTAGCGACACGCCGTTCGTAGGAATTGAAATCGCTGGCTGTGCATTTCCCTGCGTGAGTGTATTTGTATCGAAAACTGAGATAGTGGGGCCATTCTCCGTTGCGAGAATCAAGCCGTCGTCGCCCGGTGTGAATGCCACATGGGTGGGACGTGAAGGAAGGGGAATGGTGGCGATAGGTTGAAATGGCTTCGTTTTCTCCATATCTTCTCCAGCCGGCGCCTCAATTGATTTTCTGATAACATCAGCGGTGCTGATTACCAGCGCGTCTGGCCCAGCGCCAACAACGAGGCCTTTGGTGTGTGCGACAGCCAGAAGTGAGGAGGTAGGAGCAGGTAGCGCGTCGTCGGGCCATGCCGTTGGGAGGAAGCGGATGTTTGCATCCCCGGAGACGCCTTTGAAACCGACTTCCTATATAGACATTAGAAAGGGTGATCATGGTGAATGAGAGCTGTGGTGGGGTGGACATACATCGGTAAAGACATCGGGAAGCTCTGGACCAAGCTCCGCAGAGGCGCTTCCCCCAGCGGGGTTTGAAGCACCGAAGTTGAAAGCCATTCTAAGCTTTTCGGAATTAAATGCCCCAGAAGGAGAACGTGTGCTTTCGCTTAGAGGAGAGCTATGTCTGAGAGCATTAGGTGAAGGTGAGTTGGGAGGTGTGGAGAGCGAGCGTCGATGGAGTGACTGAGGACTCCGGGAGAAGAGGTTGAGAGTATGCGCGAAAATCTTGAGGTTGCGCGGCTTCCCAGGGATGAGAAGACAAGCAAAGAATAGAAAGGGACGCAACGGGTATTGCCGATGCGCAAAGGGTTAGAGAGAGAGGAGTCAAGAGAGACTACATAGAAAGCATTGAATGCGAAAATAATGACCGGCAAAAACACCTTGTTTATGCCTGATAATTAAGGCTTCACTTTAGGCTGCGGGAGCTTCGTCACTCCAAACAGCTCACTTCCTCTTCACTCCATCTCCAGCTTGCTACCCCATTCGTCCATCCATCCTTCTCGATCTGCCCTGATATTCGAATTTTGCTCTCGTCTCTTCCTATACTCATTCTCTATCCTGATAATCAGTTCAGCTGGTCGCGAATACCAGCGTTGTCACGATGCCGGGCTTCGACTTCACAAACTACAACCGCAATGCGGCGCTCCATGCCAAGGGCGTTCCCCTTCCCAAGGCCACAAGTACCGGTACCACAATTGTGGGCTGTATCTACGATAAGGGTGTTGTGGTACGGTCTCAAACGATGCGAAGATGTTCATACGAGCTGTGACCTAGGAGCTAACTCGAGTCGCCATTACAGATTGCAGCAGATACCCGAGCTACCAGCGGTCCTATAGTAGCAGACAAGGTAAAACATACCTACGAGACCACGTGAATTTTTCTTTTGGTGGGTATCTGACCTTCTTTGTCTCTAGAACTGCGAGAAGCTACACTACATCGCGCCGAAGATCTGGTGTGCTGGAGCCGGTACCGCCGCCGATACCGAATTCACCACAGCCCTCATCAGCTCCAACGTCGAACTGCACTCGCTATCAACGGGCCGCGACCCCCGTGTGATCACCTGTATGACGATGCTCAAGCAGCACCTCTTCCGGTACCAAGGCCACATTGGAGCGTACCTGGTTGTTGCAGGTGTGGACCCGACCGGCACTGGCCTGTACACTGTGCACGCACACGGATCGACAGACAAGCTGCCGTACGTGACGATGGGATCCGGATCGCTGGCTGCGATGTCGGTGTTTGAGTCGACCTGGCAACCAGACCTGGACCGACAGGGTGCCATCGACATCTGCGCGGAGGCAATCAAGGCTGGTATCTTCAACGATCTGGGCTCTGGTAGCAATGTCGACGTGTGTGTGATCGAGAAGGACCAGCCCACCCAGCTGCTCCGCAACTACATGAGGCCCAACGAGCGCCCGCAGAAGGAGCGCAACTACCGCTTCCCCCGTGGCACCACTGCTTATTTGGACCAGAGAGTTATCAGCAAGGAAGATATGAGGAAATATGTCACGATCGAAACTCTGTCGGGTGATGACAACATTACTACTGGGGACAGCATGGAAGTTGATACTTAGATTTTCTTGGAGATGCACTGACCAGTGGTCTTCTTGGATGGATTTAATGCACGCATGGTTTTCTTCTATCTCACTGTGTCTTCTGTATGATTGTACTTCGGGAAATACCGCGGACATACTGTTCGTGGATTTATGCTACGGTTTAGGGCAGTTATCGCCAGGACAGGAAATCGGAGTTTTCAGAAACTTGATGTGATTTTCGTGTAGATTGTATGCTCAGCTAAGCACCCTCTGGGCAAGGTAATATTGAAGCAGGGGTATCGTATCGCTCCATTTTATAACATTTTCTTGTGTAGACATTCATTCACATACCACATCTACCGCCAGTCAAGCCTCGATTCACCAATCTGAGGCCGAGAAGTGAGCTCTTCAACAACCTCAGAGCTTTCAAACTTGCCGACAATCCAAAGGATGTACTCATACTGAGTAGGCGAGATACGACGACCGTCACGACGATACCGGACAACACCAGCATGATACAAGGCCCGCACAAACTCCGGATCCACGGGCCCGCCGTGTCTGCGAAGATACACGTAAAGCCAGTGAACCATATGAAAAGACTGGCACGGCGTCAAGTGCTTGCAGCAGGAGAGAGCCACCGCCAGCTGGTTTATGAGGTTGACCGCAGCATGGGGGGTCGGGGCAACGGCTGTTCCGCGGGCCTGGGTGGTATCTCACGAGGACTTTCTCATCGGGATGGGGAATAGGCTGCCAGGCTTTGTGGAGGCTGACCTTGAATGGGGTGTTGTTGTTAAGAAGTCGGAGGATGGGCCAGATGTTTTTTGAGTCTCCTGATCGAACAAGACTCAGGATCTCCTCGACCGTGTCCGGGTTGGTGAGGTTCATGCGGTGGAACATTTGGTCGAATGTGGTGTGGAAAAGTCTTTGTATTCCCTTATATATGGGTGGGTTTGTCCACACTTCTGCTAGGGAGAGCTGAGAGGTTTCGAGTTGTTCGAGGGTCTTGCGGGTGGTTTTGGTAATGGAAGGTTTGCCCTTTTTGGTGAGGGCTAAGAGGAGAAGGCTGTTGTATGGGAGATCGAGGTCATGAAGTTCTTGCATGAAGTTTGGAAAGAATGTTCCTCTGGTATCTTGTGTCACCGTTTCATAAAGATTGAGCAATGAATAGATAGGCCGATCGGTTGCTCTTGCACTCTGGTTGTACATGGGCCCAGTGGATCGGCCAAGCGTTCGCAGAAGCCAGAGTCGCAAAATGATCTGGTGTTGAGTTGAATGGCTCAGGGGGGGCATGCTTTGTTTGTGTTTCAACACATGGTAGAGGGAAATCGAACCAGACCTGTGACTTGGCAACGGTCGAAATGACTTCGGCATTCGAGAGGCAATCCCGCCATCTTTCAAGCAATTGGTTTCTGGAGACCCTGTCGGCTGAAGACGATGTCAATGCCTCTGTTACGCGAATGACACAGTCCGCCGCACTGTTAACATCAAGCTGGCTAAAGATCTTGTCAGGAAACGGCAAGCTTGTCTCCGAATCGCCTTCCATGGTTTCCAACCAAGCTTGAACCAAAGCAGAAGGCCACTGGCTGCGACTGTCTGCATCATGGGTTTCGATGATGAGTTCCTCGGCAAAACGAAAGCTGCGAGTACGCAAGAGCTCGCCAAGCCAAGCATCAACAATTTTCCTGTCCAGATCGTGATACCCGAGAATGTTACAGCTCCCAATAGCTTTCCACATAGCCCGGTAGTGCTTCAGCAAAGCTTTGTGGTCCCATGATCCCAGAGTCTTGTTTCGTTCGACGATGATATTCGGTAAAGCGGTAATTATCAGGCAGATCTCATCAGTTGAAATCAATCCCAACTCTAACGCCCGATTAATCGCATTCAAAACAGCGGTTCGTTTGCCGCGTTTCGTTTTTGTTCGAACAAAGATTTCGACAGCTGCAGCGTAATTTCCCGACCCCCGGGTGTTCAGGAATGGATCATCCAAGAAGGCAATTGCTTCTGTAAGGTCTGGGTCTGAGCGAGCAAGTAACCGCTCGAATATCTGCCGGCTGTATCGCGGCTCTCGGTGCAGGTCAATTCTTAACCGACGAGTAAAGTCCCTTGCATCTTCAATGCCCCAATTCTTCCCATTTAGAAACGCTTCCAGCATCTGCTCTCGCGTGGCTTGGTTCGCGTTGGCGGGATACAACAGAGGAGGATGAGTAGTATAAAAGTCGGTGGGTTCGGGTCCAGGCTCCGGGTTCTGGTCAGAGAAAGAGAAAGGTACTTCAGGAGGACACAAAAAAGGATCGGCGATACCTTCAAATAACAATTAGCGGATAATCAAATGGCTTTGCGTGTCTCGTCACACATACTCTGAGTTTCAAATGGCGCTCTCTGCCACGGATGGTCGGTCCACTTCATGTGCTCCCTCCCATTGCGGCCAAACAGACACGCGATATCTTCAGCCGGACCTCCCCCCTAGGCTTGCCAGAGCAGTATTTCTTCGCTTTGCTAGACGTCGTCGTGCTTCCAATGGTCCGGGGACGCAGCTCCCATGGCGCCGTTGGCCGTTGGCGAAGCGACGAAACGTGGCTGCGAGTAGGTCATCGCTGATCCAGGGGTGGTCAAGTGTTGGAGTAGCTGGTGGCTTTAGAGCATGCCGGTAGGCATGTCTGCCGAAAGACATGGGGTTGGCTATGGCATGTGCAGGCCAATTGCTGTCTTGGGCTTGTCGCAAGCACCCGGGATCAACTTTCGCATGGCAGCTTTCCGGTTCTTGGCGTGATGACTAATCCCCACATCGCTCCGGGGCGGTGGACGAGTCAACGGGCCAATCTTTGGGCTTCCATTATCATCACTTGTATACATTTGTATCATATTTTGATTTGTAGCGTTCAAATGTTTACTTTAGCCATTATCTTTTTGTTTTTGTACGTTTCGCTTGTTTTTGTTTAACCTGGTTTTTTTTTCATGCCATGCTCTATTTAATCGTTCGAAGCTGCCTTGGCTGAATACGAAATGTTCGCATACGTTATACGGAAATGGATTTATATAGAAGGCAGAAGGAAATTGGAATCATAAACACAACGCCAATGCAATGCATGCAAAATTTTGCCCACCAATGGTATCACATGCTAATCATCTCGGAGAGGACATAATGGAACGGTGTGGTAAAACGAAAGACAGGTCAGGACGACCTCGGGAGCAAGCGAGGGAACAGGAACTCAGGAAGCAGCTTTACCTTCACTGGGAAGAGGCTTCCGCCCCGTCACCACATAAAAGTCCATATAAGCATGGACACTTCGGTCCTGTATACTCTTCCTCACATCGACGAGAAAGACTTCAATTTCAGGTTTCGACCACCCAAGGGCAAGAAAGGGCTTATATGACCACCCAGACAAAGCATCAAGCCAGTTGTGCTCACTCCAAGTGCCGATGGTCTTTAACTTCTCATCCTCCGGCCAGGGATTCGTGGGGATTTTGAAGAGTCGTTGTTCAACGTCGACGAATCCTATCTCTCTCATCCACTGTGCAATCCGGTGCGCGATCCGGAATTGTCTTGGTGGGTCGGCATCCCGACTCGATCGTACGTTAAGGTCTACCCAATCATGTATGGCGAATGCGCTGTATCCGCCGTCTTGGTTTTCGGGAGGCATGGTCCCATCGTCGCATTTCGGTTTCGGGTCGAGCTCGTGACATTCAATGTATGCCCCCGGCTTGAGGTGTTCGAATGCCTGTCGTAGTAGACGTTTGAATGATGGCATGGCCCCGGTCAAGTGGCCGATGTGAATGAAATCAAAATAATTCTTCTTCCATAGCCACTCTTCTTCGGTGGCATCATCGATCAGGAAATGGACGTTTGGCGGAACTTCGGTTGGCTGCACCGGGGACAGATCCGTCCCTATTATTTCGGTGTTTGGAAACAAGGCCGCTGCAAGACAAGTTGTGGTTAGACAGGAATTTCAGGGCTGGGACAGGTGATCATACACATCTCTATGGGCCATATCCCTGAGCCGGTACCAATATCAAGAATATGTTTTGGGTCTTGAAGGGGAACATGGAATAGCTTTCCATCCATCGTCACTTTGAACATGTGATGTTGCATGTCTAGGCGTTCTAGCTCCTGTTCATCATTGGGGTATATATAAGCTAAACAATGAATTAGCCATGCTGTGCAAGATCTCATAGAGCCGGGTTCACAAACATACCTCCCTCGTGGTACCGGTGATAGGTTCTTCCATTCTCAACAGGGTAATCGGTTACACTGGCAGTCAATGACTGTGTATCACTGTTATGATATGGTCAGACATGCCAGTTTTTCATTTGGTAAGGCAAGAAGAGGTGAGAAGGGCGGAGGTAGTACCACTGGTCAGCATGAGGTGCCTGCATAATTTTACGTTAGCAAGAAAACCGATAGTAAAATAGCCACCAGAATATCAATAGCCGTAGAGTATTGACATTGGGACCATATTCTATAAGAGAAACAAACTCACCGGACGTCTAGCACCCATGTTCACCTCGATCTCATCCAGCAGGGATCAATAGTGGCAAGTATCAGAGCGCTCTGCGGGACGGCGGATGGGCTATTCCTTGGTGAAGTGGAATCAGGAATTAATCTGATACTCCATTCCACGTCCCAGTATAAAGACAGAAAGACTCAGACTGACGCAAACCCAGACATTATTGAAAAGAGAAAGAGGGGAAGAGCCCGACAGCTTGGGTTAAGTTATAATCTGGCAGGGCGGGAGGACAATCCCGACAACTATAATTCAGCGTAAGATCGACATTCGAAATCGAAAAACAAAAAGCAAAAGCAAAAGCAAAAGCAAACCCCGGTAAGTGGAGCTCTACAAGAATGGTAAAGTAGAGTAAAGAGTATGAAAGAGTAATGGAAGATGCCCAGGCGCTTTAGGCGTGAAATCAATTAAAGCGGAAATAATACCCTTGTAAGTTCCCTGTTTTCGGGGGGGGGGGGAAAGGTTTAGTTTTCTAGTGGAATTGATTGGACCAAATTAATATGTAATTATCAATTTTTTACTTCGTTCTTTTTCCTTTTCAGCTTTTTTCGCTTTGGCTTTTTCTTTTCCTTTTTTGGATATTCAAAATACTATTCGGAAATTCACACAAAATATTAACTAATTTCCTTTCCATTCAGAAGGGAAAATCATGAAGACCAATACATTTTTCGGCTGCACGATGTTCCAAGTTGGGCTGTTGGATTGATAGAAGGACTCTTTTTCCGACAATCCTCCGGCTCCCTGACGTGGGACCCCGGATGGTACCTAGAGATACATGTTCTCCCAGACATTTAACCCAGGGCACATTATCTCGATCCTCGCGATCGAGGGCTCCTGGCCTTGTTGAGGTCGATCGACCAATAGAGGTTGGTCCCATCTAGCTGGGAATATGCAACCCGCTCAGCCACGGGCCGCCTTCAACCTTTCTGCTGGGATTTTTCCCTTTAAATTCAGCCCGATCAGCAGAAATCATTTCCAAGAACACCTGTGCAGAATCCTGCAGGGTCATCCTAGAAATAGTAATGGAAATTATTCCCCGAGGTTATATGATTTCTTTATCTTCCATACATATGAAGGATCCAAATCAAAATCAAAAGTAAAAGTTCTGCTGATAATAATGGGTCCTAGACTGGAAACTCTCGGCCCCGTACGGAGTCAAGACGTGGAGCTGTTGGGATTTTCCCTTTCCTCTCTCAAAATGAATTTCATATAATCCGTAACAGTCACGGGTACTCCGTACCCATACAGTGCCCACGCCAAGGCCTATCAATGCGCATACAGCATACTCCGTATTCGGTTTTAACTCGAATATCAAAGTGTTGGGAAAAATCCCGGAAGATTTACGAAGTCCCGTATAATGCTCGAAGTTTCCTTTGTTCTTTTTTCTCTCCTGATGCGTGACGACTCGGATCCGTACTGTAATTAGGTCTGGCGGTGGGAAAGAAAGGAGATGATCTGTCAGAATTAGCGTCACTCGGGGCGCTCTCAAAGCCTGGACTTTCTCTTATTTCCCCAAATTGGCTCCGAAAGGAGGGGCACAGGGGATCTAAGTGCATCACGGAACATGCACAATAGTTTCCGGTACTCTGGGTCTTCATAGTGATTTCGATCTTTTATTTTTATTTATTGTTCAATTTGGTTCGTCTGGAGTACCCAAGAGTTTTCATCCCGAGCTTCTAGACCTAAGACTCTTCTATCAGTTCTCTCGTGCAGATGTCGATCAAACAAAGGCGGTTGATTATAGTTAGCGTAGAGCATATCTTGGAGACGGAAATTACAAAGGAACCCAGGTGTATCCCCTAATTTCATGTCTCCAACCCTACACGAAAACAACTACAAAGCTACAAATGTATTAACCTTCTGTACTTGAGTACTCCGAATCAACAAATATTCAAATGTTATCTTATATATTATTATTTGATGCGACAGAAAGAGGGGGGTGGGGGAGGGGAAAGCATAACGCGTCAACAATGGGTCAGTAGTGCAACCTTGCAGATAGAATCCCAAGCACAGCACCCCTGCAGCCGTCCCAAAAATAATTCTTTCGCTGCCATGGTGTCGGGTTTCCATGCAAAGGGAACCTCCCGGAAATTTATTGGAATTGAAATTCACCCGGACCCGGCGACTGGGAAAGTTGGTTCGGGTTCCATCGTGTCGGTAACGCCGGCCCCAGAGCCAATTTCCAAGGTGTCAAGTTGGGTCCTGCACATGCACATATTTATTTTGATGGGCTTTTCAATCGGTTTTGTGGGGGCTAATTGCCTGTGTATGTTAACGTAGATTTTTTGGGTGTTAAATTATGTCTCTCTGATGCTACATAAGTAACGACTGTAGATGCGTGTTTCGTTGAACCACAACCCATGAACTGCTAGCCTTGGAAGTCGGAACTCCGTAGCGGAGCAGCTCGGTAGTGGAGACAGCCCTTAGTTATTTCCAAGGTTCTCCTTTTGAGGTCGTTGTTTTAGTCGCTAGACTTCAAGTGTACTCCACTATAAGCGGGTCTTGTACGGAGTATTTACCATGGTTTCTTTTATGTGGGGAGAGAGATAGGGCATTAGAAATTACCTACAACATACAGGGTTTGTTAAACAAATTTACCTAGGTAAGTGTTCAACCGAATAAATCCGAGTACATAGGCCCAAGTCGGTGTTACGTGATATGCCAAGGCTCTGACAATCAGATAATGGCCTATCGGGTCCGAGTCCAAGACGAGAAACAACGTACTCACTTTACTATGCTCACTGTGTTACTCCGTATGTATCTAGTATCGAGTGGGCAGAGCTGTATATCGGAAACTTCAGCTGGCCAATATGTATTAGACTCGGGGAAGAAGGAAGAGCAAGTGTCAGGCGTTCTAAGCAAATGTATGCAACGGAAATCACCCTGGGCTGCACCTTGCTCCCGCCTTCGGTAGGATGCCAACTACATGCACATGGAAGTATGTTTTTAGCTCCATTCTTGACAACTCATCTACTTCTAAAATAGCCAAAGTCTATTGGAGGTGGTTTTGAGTCAAGTAAGACATACGGCCTGGAATCCTTGCCTACGTGCATATCGGCCCATTGCCCGTCTTGGGTCTTTCGCTAAACGTATTTGATACTACGTGTCATGCATATGGAACGGCTTGCTGGCGAAAAGGTTAGACCGCTTGAGTATTTTCGCATATAAT